CCTACCATTAACTCAAGATATGCATCAAGTGTCACAAGAAGGTCCTATCATTGAAGAAAAGAGTGGGTCCTTTTGGACCAACACTTAAGAAAATTATGACATCGTTATCAAGAAAAGCCAAGAACTTCGAGTAATTGATGGTTATGTGAACACTTATTCCTTCAGTCATGGGTCCAATCACAGTCTACCATCTGTTCTAGGTTATCTATTTATGCATGTTCTCCAGACTCAGTCAGTTACCCTCTACTTTGCTAATGAGAATGTATATCTCTACTTCCTTACCGCTAGTGCTCATTCTTGTTCTCATTTGGTTCAAAGGCAATTTAATTAGGATGCTTTGGGGGTCTAGTTTGATATGGTTTTATGTGTACTTAACCCTTGAGGGCAACGATCTTTTGGTGGAGATGTATTGTTACGTAATTATAATAAATAAGAAAAAAATTAATATTTAATTAGGGTTTAAATAGATTTAGATATGATTTATGATTTAAATAGATTCAAAATTCCTCGTCTCCCTATTCCTCTCAATCTCTCTAATTCTCTCATTCTTTTCTATTCTTCTCACCAATCCTCTCTATTTCTTTCTCTTTCAATATTATTCTACCATAACAGTTGTATTAGAACCAGGCATTCCTTAGCCCTCTTTTCTTTTCTTTTTGTTTATTCTCATTTCTTTTCCTTTCTTCATTCAAAAAGCAATGGAAGCAAGGCTAGACAAAAATTCAAATGTTGAAGAGGAAGCAAGAAAGCGATGAATTGTAGAGGGCCATTAAAGAATGTTTCAGGTCTTTGTATGAAGCACCCATGAGTAACTTAATGAGGTTATAACAACAAAGGACTTTAGCAGACTTCAACAACGCTTTTGATTCCATTTCTTGCAAGCTACAACTTACACAAGATTATTTGGTGGCGCATAGATTAGAGGCTTGCATGAAGACTATGTTGGTTCAATATGTCTCTTTTAGTAGAGAGGTATTGTTATGTAATTATAATAAATAAGAAAATAATTAATATTTAATTAAGGTTTAAATAGATTCATATATGATTTATGATTTAAATAGATTCAGAATTCCTCATCTCCGTATTCCTCTCAATCTCTCTAATTCTCTCATTCTTTTCTATTCTTCTCGCCAATCCTCTCTATTTCTTTCTCTTTCAATATTATTCTACCATAACAATTGTATTAGAACCAGGCATTCCTCAGCCTTCTTTTCTTTTTTGTTTGTTTCTTCTCTTTTCTTTTCTTCATTCAGAAAGCAATGGAGGCAAGGCTGGACAAAAATTCAAATGTTGAAGAGGGAGCAAGAAGGCAATGAATTGCATAGGGCCATTAAAGAATGTCTTAGGTCTTTGTATAAAGCACCCATGGGTAACTTAATCAGGTTAGAGCAACAAGGGACTTTAGCAGACTACAACAACGCTTTTGATTCTATTTCTTGCAAGCTACAACTTACACAAGATTATTTGGTGGGCACTTAGATCAAAGGCTTGCATGAAGACTATGTTGGTTCAGTACGTCTCTTTAAACCAAGAACAATGCAAGAAGTGAGGAGTTTGGCATGAATGCTGAAGATTACATTGCAAAGGCAAGTTGCGAAGGGGGCATCTGTCAAGAATAGTGCGAACGTGGATGCTGGAGCTAGTACTCAGCCTTCGCACCTCAAATTTGATATGGGTCGATTGGCTCAAGAAGGTTTATCTTCCCCGTCATTAAAAAATGAATACATCAACATGCAAGATTTACAAGACGATGACAAGAATGTTGAAACGGAAGATAAGTTTGGTTCGGTCACCTCCCCAACAAGCCCATTTGAGTTCAATGATGAGCAAGAACCCTCTACCACTCAAAAAGATAGTGGGTCTTGTTCAATCTCCTCCTAAGAAGCGTGCAACAAAGTGCAGCAACCCTTAGTGCAAGATGGTGATATCAAGAAGAATCATTAGTGTGAATTCGATTACAAAGATGTGGGTTCAAGGATTTGCAAATGGGGCTGATTAGAGTCTTTCATCACTAGAGTTAGCAAACATGTTTGCTATGGCTTGCATTTTAAGACCCAGTTCAGATGGAGGGGTGGGGTACTTGAGAGAAGCTAAAGAAGGTTAGGAAGGTTGTTGTCTTCTCTAGTTTCTCCATTGCAGTCTGTTCTTGTATCTTCAAAGCCATCTTGTTGTCTACTTCTTTTCTTGAAATACCGTGTCTCTGTTTTTTGGGTGAGTTTTCTGCTTTCTTTGCTCAAAAGATCACACGGGGATGTGCCTTAAATGCTGAAAAGTCAAGGGCACCCATCTCATTCATCTAGTGGGACCCGCGAAGGTGGTACCAACTACTTAAAGAAAGAAAGAAGAAGGAAAAGGGCAAAAAGTGTAGCAGCATGGTAAGGCCTCTCATGACTAAGGCACATGGGCAGGTGTTAGTTTGGAGAGAGTATTGCACACATGGGTGCATAGGTCAAAGACAGATTTTCTCTATTTCAAATGGTTATTGCTTTTGCGATCTTAGTGGGTGCCAGCTATCATCCACTATCTGTACATGGGCTCATAGGTCAAATAACAGGGCCAATATCATTTGCATGAGCCCAATAATGCAGGAAAATATTTGTTGGGCTTTATTCATTCAAGTTCCGCCTACCTGTTTTCTTGTTTTGATGTGGTACGAAGGAAAATTGATCAAAATGCTGTTGGGATCAAGTCAGAATGAGTTTCTTTCATTTATTCAAGCATTGAACAATGACAGTGAATAGTGAACAGTGAAGTGAATTGGACAGTGATAGTGAACAGTAACTTCCAGGAGCTTAATGCTCTCTTTCCAATATTTCAACAAAAGTTCACTCAAATTGCCGTCCATGACCTTTGAGGACAAAGGTCTTTTGGGAGGGGATATTGTTATGTAATATTGAAATGAATGTTAGTTACTCTTAGTTAGGTTAGCTGTGGGAAAAAGCCATTGGGTAGTTATAAGGATTAAGATCTTATAAATACCTATAACCCTATTGTAATCTCAAGCTAAGTCATCAATCAGATTTGCGTATTATTCAGAATTCCTCATCTCTCTATTCCTCTCAATCTCTCTGACTCTCAGTCTTTTTTATTCTTCTCTCCAATCCTCTCTATTTCTCTCCCTTTCAATATTACTCTACCATATCAACTTGTAAATCTGTTGAAGAAATAAACACTCTTTTCCTATTCCTTCTTAACAAGTACATTAGAGGAAAAACTGAAAACATGAATCTATAACTTTTGTCAATATGTGGTTTGAGTGAGATTAGGGTGGATTAAGTTAGATGCAGATGAGGCAGAATGTAGTTTAAGCAAAAGTGCAGGATGTGGTAGTGCAATAGAAGATAGAGGAGCAAGGAAGAAAGGTGGCTTCTACATGAGGATAATTAGTTGTTCCAGTCATAAGGTCAAGTCCTTGGGATTGTTGGAGGGCTTGAGATTAGCACGGGAGTTGGGTTTAGGAAGGTGAAAGTGGTGTGAAACTTGCTAAAACTTGTCAATGATGTTATTGAGGTAAACTGATAGAGCTCATTATTTTCCTAAGACTTATAAAAGGATGACAAAGAAGATAAATGACTCAAGTGGAAACGTTTTGACTGGTCCAGATGCTTATCCTTCAATCCCTAGACGTAAGGAATAGTGATTTATGATCTTGTGTTGTGATTAGAATCTTTTTGGGCAGTATGGGCTGTGAGGAAACCATGCTGTAAGTATTAATAGTCTTTTGCTGGAACAAGGGGGAGAGGGAATGACTTTGTATTAGAAAAGTGAGGGAGACACTAGCCTCTTGAAAGCCAAAGGTTGTGAGACCATTGTGAGTGTGCTTGGTTCTGTTATTGCTGTACTTGGACTGTTAGGGGAGATAGGGTTTGGCCAGAATCAATGAGTGTCATTGCAACACTGATTCGGTTCTCTTTCGGTTTATTAACATCAAAATCCTCATGATTTTCCCCTCATATTTAACTGTTACTGTAATTTTGCATTTAATACTCCAATTTTCTGGTTGGGTCTCATCATAAACTCAAATGTCGACAGTCTAAACTCCTTAGTGCTGAAGATAAGGGAGTTAAAAAGCAGATAGTGGCAGCTAAAACTTTGACATAGTGCTAGAGGCACAAATGAACTGACAGATGGTGTGGCAACACTTTTAAGGGAACCACTTGAATCTGCGGGTGGTCAAGTGACTAGAGATCTCTAGGTGTCTGACCACTCAATGATTTAATTTGTTTTGTTTCTGGGTTGTGCCCAACTTTCTTTATCCCCACCCCAAAACAAAGCAATAAACAAAAGAAAATAAAATAAAAAAAGAAGATTATGATGTGACTCAAGGAACTGTGCAGACTTATATAAGGAAAAACAAAAAAAACTAGAAATGAAAAATCCAGCATGTCAAGACTCTTAACCTTAGGGTCCAGATTTTATGGGATACATCATTATGTGTGTAGGGTGACTGTAGGTTCAGCTTAGGTGATGGTGTCATTTTTCTGCTTCCTTAATATTTTGTTTTCGTTTGTTTTGGCACCAAGAGAATTTGGTAACTCAGATATTGAAGAGGACAGTGCTGGTCTCTTGAACACCAGTGGGAGACCTGACCTTTGCGTGTATGTTGTTGGTGAACATTTCTTCATTGTATTCTGCTGTCGTAGGGAAGAGGGTTTTGGCCAGAATCAGTAACTCTATTTTTGTAACACTGATTCGGTTATTCCGTATTAATATCAAAACCTAAAAATTTCCCTTCATTTCTTTGTCTTTATGTTAAGATTCTGTTGAGAACTAGTAAATAAAGCTAAGCTCTATCAGATTACTTCAACAAATTAAATGAACTTAGAAAATGGAAAATATTTTCATCCAGGTTCAAGTTCCTGACTAATAAACACACACACACACACACACACACATGTATATGTACATCCTGAGAACTGTTAGAAAAGTTGGTTTAGAATGCACAGGTTTTTTTTTTTTTTTTTTTCAGGAAGGATGCACAGCTATTATTTTGAACTTACATTTGCATCCTCTGAGTGAAGATTGAACTGCGGCTCAATAACATTCACCATGAAGCGACGAGTCCCCTCCTCTGAACTATCTAAGCTTTCATTTTTAGCTGGCAATAAACCCAAATGGAGAATGATATGAAGCAGAGAAGGCCTCTCAATAAAAATAAATAAATCACACTGGAAAATCAAAATATCTAGGACCTTGTGAATGATGACAATTTCTGTTGCAACAGATGACTTTTGTTTTTTTTTTTTTTTTTTTTTTGGTGTGCTACCCTCTGAACTATGATCTAATAGCGTGCCTATATTTGTATCAGCAAAAAGAAATTTTAAAGCATAGAGACATACCAGCTGATAAGCTGTCCATCTTAACAAAATTTGGTGGAGACCAACGTGACCCAAGAGTCTCCACAGGCTGAGAAGTTGACGAACTTGCAACATTACCCGCAGGAGGGCGCACCCGAACAACTTCTTGTTGGGTTTGGGTTACATCATCCTGATTATTTTCCTCAAGTAATTTTCTCTGTGCATACTTTCGAGAAGGAGAAGGCTTGGGAGGTTCAAAAGCTTTGGATAAACCACCAACCCAGGACCAAACAGCATCTCTGTTTTCAATAGTCCACAAAAGTTTGAGACCATAGACAAAAACACGCTGACAATTGTCAGCTATTACCACATTGTAACCATCATCATCACTTGGGTCGGACTGCAAATGCTCATCAGTTTCACTCCCATTTTCAAACTCAGATCTTACATATGTCATTTCAACATTTCTTCTTCCAGCTTCTTGCCAAGCTAATAACCTAGCAGGATCAACCTTTGGGGACTGTCGTCTGATAGTGAAGTAGTCAGATGACAACAAAAATCCATCATCACAATTCTTCTCAGCACAACCACTCATGTAGCCCTTTTCACTTTTATCCATTGATGCAGACTGTGAGCTTTTACGAGTCATGTTTACAACTTTTGCAACATTAGCAGAGTCTTCTTTTTTTAGAAAAGCCCTAGGCATATGAAGGTCAAGACCCTGGTAGACAAGATCAAGGACATCACGTTTGCTTTCAAAAGTATATTTTTGCTTGCCTCTACTGTAACAGAGCTCATACTTAAGCTTTGTCATATTAAATGTCAGTCCTTTTGCTGGATCATCATTGTCTAAAGGCATGTGCTTTATACAGGATGGTGTAGCATCTAGACGGAGCATAAATTCTGTCATCACTTTGTCCAGTGACAAATTACCTGACCTAGCAACCCTTGGAATTCCAAAACGGGGCCAACGAGAAAAGCTACGCAGTTTATGTGGCGGATTGTAGTTCATACTCCAGAATCTTAAAACCCATGCTAGATCATGAGCACCAATGTTCAATGTTGGGGAAGCAGGCAAAGCATTTCTAGAATGTTGAGGAGGATCAGAGACATTACCAGCTCCCTCAATGCCATCTATAACAGAAGAAGATAAGGAATATCTTTGTGATGAGGGAAGCCAAGGTTTAAGACAGAAGTTCCACCTAAGTGAAAGAGAAGTGGATCTAAAAGGATCAAATACTTTATCCCGTGGCTTACCCTCGGCTGGAAGTGCAAATAAATAATGATTCAGAGGTTTTCCAGATTCACAATCCCAGTCCATTGTAACTTCAAGAGTAAAGACAGGGGCTTCCAGAAATGCACCAGAGACACCAGTTGGAGGCTTGAAACCACGTTTGTTTGCCAAACTCTCCAAACTGCTCAAAAAAATCTTAAAATTGTTGGCAGAAACATTAACATGACCATCTGTATGGTGAATTTCCATAGAGCCACTTACAATTTGAAGTTTATCTAGCTTTTCATAAGGATCAGTGCTGGCCAAAATACTCCATCTGGATTCTTGGAAGAATAAGGAAATTTTTCCATGAATGTAATTTCTCATGTCATCCCACCATGGCAAACTCCGTTCCTTTTTTGGTGGCTGAATAAGTGGACCAGGATTCTTAAAACTTAAATTAGCCCTACGCAGTGCAACAGTGAAGGCATAACTTATATCAGCAAAAGATGGTTCATATCCTACCCCAAATGACACTTCTGCTTTCTGAAAATGTATGGGCAAATTTGAGTAGGTCTTCATTGGTGGAGTAGTACCACTAGCTGATCGAAGCATGCGCACCTTCCTCCACTTCCCAACATAGACTTCTTGATAGATTTGAGGTTGAAAGCTAGTTGCCTAGTTGAATTAAAGAAAGAGAGAAGCAAAAAAGAATTATGGATTTAGGTAGGTTGAAAAAGGCAGGAAAAAAGTATAGACACACAATAGGGCAAATGCAACTGATGCTTCAAAAGGTTTTGTAGAAACACTAAACTTTAATGTGGGGAACAAATACACACACACACACATTATTCATGTGGTAATTTATTAAATAAATGATCATATATAAATAAACGTGTCTGCACCAACATAAACCACATCCATAATACTAATGCACCAATTCCATACCAACAAAAGCACATAGAAACCTGTCTTCTTTGAAAAAGCATGAAACAATATGTAAAACTCTCAACTCAAGGGTCCTAATAATTCAACGGTTCCAGCTGTTTTACTAAACTTTTCTCCTGCAATTCATATGCCTCAAGATTGTCAAATGGGCCTACAAGCTGCATGAATGTAAAAGCCTGCTTTTTGCTATAATTGATTGGATTGCGTAGACAATAAGAATAAATCAAATCCTAAGTACTCTTTAAGTTTCTCAGAAAAATATCCAACCTCAATAATTAAGAATATTTAAGAGAATTCAACAGTTAGATTATTGAGCTTCAAAGGTTACATCTGCTAAATGCAATACGCAACTACATGGTCAGAAAACATTCCCAAAAAAATTCACATGATTTACTATTGGGGCATGGGTGAGAGAGAGCTAGAACCCATGCCACATGATTTACTAATTAATGAGGTTTGAGAGCCTAAGATCCCTCAAATGCCACATCAAAATCCCATATTTCCAAATTCTAATGTAGAACTCAAGTTTTATACCTTAAAATTCAGTCCTAATAAAACTGAAATAATTTAAGAACCAAGTCCTACACTGCTGACTAAAACTTATAGCTCTCAATCCCTTAGCCAGCAGAATGTCCATTAAAAATACATGCCTACTTTATCAAAGACCATAAAAGAACTAATTTTCAGGTATTCTCAGATGGGATAAATCTGATTAAAGAAGAATTTAAATGTTTAAAGGATAAATATGCCACATAAATATTCCAAAAGTATGGTATTTATCCCATGACTGTCCTCTGACCAATTTAGTCAGTAACTCAATGAACTAGCAGTTTGGTTTCAATATATAACTGACAAGCTAAAGAACCAAACGACAGTCAAAGAACTGCCAGCCTCAAACAGGAAATCAGAGTGAAATGACAAGTCATTGCCTTAAACCAGTCAAATCATGAGGCAATAAGCCGGGGACTCTAGTCTGAAAAAGGGCATTATGGTACATACTGGGATCCGAACTCAGCATTTGATGAAAGGAAGGGAGTGGGATGTTTCTGATCCAAGTTACCTGTTGTTATGCATTGAATATGTTTTATTGGATAAGAAATCTAGCAGGAAAACAAAAATATTAATTCTTAGGTGTTATGTCATTATTTTCACCAAAACAACTTGTGTATAAAGTGAAACTCTGTACTTGTTATCAAGGGGGATTGAGTTATTTAATGTTTTTAAAGTCTATAAGTAATGCTATATAATTATTTTATCTTGAATGATTGATATTTTTAATTTTTAATATATTACATTTTTATATAGTATGGTATATAAGAATACAAAATATGCATCTTTTCTATTAGCAGTCAGATGCAGTTTGATTACAATTGTACTTCTGGAATGTGAACCAATCTTTTTACCAGTCCAATTTTTAAAGCATTGCACTGGGTCGATGCATGTATTTACCGATCTTGTCACTGAAATAATTCTGTATTCTAAAAGGGTCTTCTTGTCTTAAACATGAGTAAGTCATGCCATATACTTCAAGTTATAACTATAAAAAGGAAGGAAATGTGATCTATTATTAAGCTTACCTGCTGGGCCAACACAAGACAACCTTCACATTTACCAAAACTTCCAGAGAAAAGGGGGAATGTGTAGTTCCGAAGCTGGACAACAAGAGAACCTGTATTTAAGATAATATTTCTCCCATACAGTCGAGAAAATGGTATCTCATTTTCAAGACAGACAGGATCAAGCTTCTTCAGCACCTCAATCATCCCAGCCTCTCCACCATCAATTTTTGTCAAGCTTACATCCAAGTCTAATGCAGATATAGAGAGAAGAGAGGCCCTAGAAGTGCTAGGTTTGAAACCAGCTTGAAATCCTTCTCTGCAGGCACCAGATCCTTCAGACAACACTAGGTTCTGACATGCCTGGTAATATGACCGGAATGACCGTTTATAAATTTCTTCCCTCATGGTTTGAACAGTTGAAGAGTCTTTGAAATCAACCTCAACATCATTATAGTAAATCTTTCTTTCCTGAGCAGAATTATTGATATCAGTAGATTGTGGATCTTGATTGGCCTCTGAAATAAGTTCGTCCAGAAATTTCAACCGGACAGCTAATTCACAGGCCTCCTTCTTCATCAGCTGATAGTGTTCATCAAGCCATCCCTGGATTGGTTCCTCTTCAATGTCAGCTGTTAACTTGCGTATGCAAAATTTTATGCATCCAAACTTTATTGAACTAGGCCTTCTGACTTTAGAGCTCTCTTTCTCAGGAGGAAAAATCAGATTAGTTTTAGCAGCAATGATGAGCTTTAAACCTCGTAACATATCCTCGATAGCATCATCGATGGCACGTAGTTGCAATCTGTATGGCATGCATATGTGAACATCAAGGCCTTGAATTACCCAATCCCATGTTGTCACTACAGGTTCTTTTGGATCAGACGTACCTATAGAGACACTAGGAATCCGTGAAACTTGCATCCGACTACTCTTGAAAACTTTAGAACCATTAAAACTAAGCATAAGTCCTTCAAGGAGAAATCCAATACGAGCATTCTCAGAGAAAATTGACTGAACCTGAACCACAGCATCAACTCCATCCCCAAGCCCAGCTTGTATACTTAACATTTCCACGTCAACTGCAAAAATAGATTCTTTCTTCTTGTGCTTTTCAGGATGCCCTAATTCCACAGTAGCTTCCTTTTTCCAATCACCATCTCTGAGATTAGATACACCTCCCGTATTTTCTTTACAATGCTCCTCAACTTTCCTATTGTGTACCAGTAACTTCAGTTGCAGAACAAGTTCAACTAGTGATAGATACGTATCAGGCTCCCAACTCACTGAAATATCAGTAGCACTGAAAAGAGAGCAGACAGCAATCTCCCTAAGGCCACCTGAGCGCTGCACCAGTTTAGCATTTTGCATGTCAAACAATGACACCTTTGTCACTGGCTTATTTTCCTCCATATATTCCTCGTATATAGATCTGGCTCTTTCAAGTTCCATCTGTGTGGACTGTTTCTCCTTGTTGACACACACATTGAAGTGCAAGATTTCAAAAGAGACAGAGTACTTCAACTTTTGGTATTCATTTGAGATTGTGGACATTATATTTGCTTTACGTGGGGTGCCATCAGTTAATTCATTTATTATAACACGACCACCCTGTGAACCATAATTAATTTGCTTGGGATCAGGAACAACTATATTTTCCAGGCCTGTCTCACCCCACATATAGATTGAACATCGTTCAAGATTAAATTTCAGCATTTGAGTTCCCTTCCCCGAAGATTTTGATAACCGCCCCTGGCTCTGAGTTGATTTTTTCTTCAAAGCGGATAGATTTTTCAAGAGAGCTTGAAAGGATATGGCTGTTGATATGAGTGATTCAACACGCTTAAAATTTAAATAAACTCCCATGCCGGTAACATCAATTGATAAACCTAATTTACACCTAGGACTATCTTCTTCAGAGGATTCCATGTCCTTTCTGCCCCAATCCAAACTAACTTTTGCTATGTGCATGATAGAGCCAGAATTTGATTCCACACCAAAAAAACTTTCTTTCAAGCATTCTTGATATTCATCAGCCAAATGGAGATTCAGCTCACCAAGTTCAGCATGTGCTGTTGTCCCCGTATTTGAAATGTTGTTTGCAAATAGATGCGATGATTGAGAGCAACCCTAACATGAAAAGCAATAGATCCAGGGTTTACAGTCAATGTCTCTAGTCAAATCAATAAATCATTTTCAGGAAGAAAAAGCATAATTAAGATAACCACATGTAAAACAGAAGAACTTTAGTTAAAACATTAAACAACAATAAATTCAAAGAAGAAAATAAAAGGTAGTGAAACATGATAATTAAAAATAGAAAATAGTTTATCACAATGAGAATCATCAGTCAAGTGTTTCTCAACAAAAGACTAAAAGAAGGTCAGAACAAAAGACAAGAAATCTTTGAACCTCAAAGCTGAAGTACAACTGCTGGTACATATTATAGAAGGGGTTCATTGGTCACTGTCTCCTTCTTCTGGAAATTTATACTGGCTGTAACTGCCTCTCTAAGGCATCCTTGATAAACACACAAGATGGAGAAGACAGTCATTGGTCACAGTCCCCCAAAATATCTCATTATTCCACCTAGTTTACCTTAAGATGGAGAATTTCTTCCACATAGCATCATTTCCCTCTTTTTAGAATTTGGATTCAACAACTGAATTATTATTAGTAGAGTGTCATCATGCATAATATACTTGTTTGATTATAAGGCTCACGAAGGGCCTCCATCATAACTCTCCTATTAAACACATTAAAGATATAAAGCTCAAGTTCAAAATTTACAAGTTCAGTGAGGCACTCAAAACTGAAAATTGAGAGACAAGCCACCAACATTGTCCAGCAAAGTAAAAGGGTTCTTGGTGTGGTCATTGTATACATTAATACTATAGTCAAGTGAACAGCATATTACTTACATGATACATGGGAGAACCAGCCATATTGAAAAGCACAACTGTCATCTCAGGAGCTGAGACATTACATGTCCACATGATGGTCTTATCGTCAGTTGATTGTGGCTTTATAGTATCAGGAGCTTTCTCTTGCAGTACCATTTTTCTCTTCTTTGACAAATGCAGGAACAACCAAGGCTGTAACCTGCTCATTATGATGTTGCACTGCGTACCCCCTAGCTTAATTTCTGTTTCAGCTCTAACAGGTGAGGTTGGCTGAAGGAAGAAAAGCACCAAAAAAATATGTATTATTTAAACAAGCTGGAACGAGATTTCAAGAAGAAATATTTCATGAATTAACAATCAACAAATAATCAATATTAAAACAAAAGGGAGGAAAAGAAAATTCAGCATAGGGTAAATCAAAGCACTGCTATGTTTAGAGTAGCAGAGCAACTTTCCTTGCCATTCATCACTTTGATTCTTCTCTCTTTTTCGTATTCTCACTTCAGAGAAAATGCTATCAGCTATTTTTGTGTAAAAATTTTCCTCCTTTTATTATAGAATTTTTTTAAGAAAAATGTAGCAATGTTAAAAAAACAAAAAAGGTAAACTTTTTCCAAAGAATAATGATATGCATCTTTAAAGAAATATTATTAAAGAAAAAAAGAAAAGGGTAAAATAAAAGGGAGGACAAAGGATCCTCTAATATACATTTATACTTGTTGGCAGGTAATAGCAAAAATTGCATTAAGTAGAACGCCTAGAGGCCATAACATCTCTAGTTAATCTTACAAAAGCACTGCCTTTTATAGAAAAGGAATTTTATTAGAAGGTAGAAAAGTTACAACGAAGGAGGATACAGCATACTCTTGGAACAGACCAAAAAAAAAATTACGAAAAACAACACATCCCCAATATCTCCACATATCTGACGGGGAAGAAAGACAAAAAGAAGCCAAATTCCAATTCCCAAGTCTAAGCCACACTAAAAGCAAAGACATAAGATGCCATAATAAATGCAAATATTACAAACCAAGTGCACCATGAAACTGTTCAAGATCAGAGGCCACATCCATAGTTCTCCATTATAATAGGCAACCAGTGCCATTTATATATAAACTTGAGCAACAGTTATTTCCAAATGAAGTGGCTTCTCACAATAATTAATCTGAAAAATCTATACAATGTGTAGGTCTGCAAAAATTTATCTTCTTTCCACCACAAAAAACTTCCTGTTGTTCATGTCAAGCAACTTTTTCCATGAAATAATAAAGGAATTACCAATCATAGTGTGCTACAAGGATGCTATATTGCAAGTAACTTACCTGCACTGGGATAAACACAAAAGATACCAAATCCAACTTCAATATTTCCAAAATGCAAGAACCAGCTTCCCTAAGAAGCTGTAGTATCAATGGAGCAAATAAAAATTTGTCAACAAGAATCAGAGCAATGTCAAATAGTGGAAATCATGTCATAAGAGCTTCATCAAAATCAATAGTCACCCTACATACATGAATCTCACTAAATTCCAGTTGAAAATCAAGGCGCGTACTTTCCCCAACATCCTCAGTAGATCGAGATTTCATGCTTTTCAATTGGATGCCCATGATGTTATTCTCAATTGAAAGACCAAGTTCACGATGCACAAATCCCACATCTAACTTGGGTAGATTGAAGCTGACCTATCAATAATCAATAACAAGTATAATTCTATATTTAATATTATATCTATCCAATAAGTTTATTAGTAGAGACACTGGTGCCATTGGAAAACATTTTGAACTTTTTTGCAAGGTTAAATATAACCAACATCCAATATGAATCAAGAACGCCTGGTTTTACATCAAAATTAGAGAAAGAGAACATGGTTATTCATTAACCAGTCAAGTATCACAAGTAGATAGACACTGACTTTCACTAGGGCCCTACATTTCCAAATTAAATCAACCAAAAGGAAACCAAACATCAAAAGCAAAAATCTGATACAGAAAGAGACTTGTGAGTGAAGGAAAACAGTTTGCCCAAAAACCAAAAAGTGGTCTAGGAAGCCAAAAACATCCTTAATATCAAGCTCCTAGTACAAAGTTAAGATGTGTGGTCGCTCTTTTGTTGATCTTTAAAAAAAAAAATGGTCATCCCCAAAAAAATTTAAAAAAAGAGACAATCAACCATGACAAGGAAACTAACAACAGAAGCATTGCAAGATCAGCATTAACAATGAAGAGGGGGAATGGTTGTAGAAAAGATACACCACAGCCAATGGCCTTGTAGCCTAGTGGCATGCAAGCTCCCCAGTAAGTGAAAACCTCAGGCCTAGTGCATGCCAATAAAAAAAAAAGAAAAGAAACACCGCAAAACCAAACATCCTCCAAGAAAGAAAAACTGATGATACAACACTATTCCCCACAGTGAAAATGACTGAGGCACTATCAACATTTTAATTAAATATGTAGCAATTAAAGTTGCACATAATAAATTTCTTAGAGAAACTATTGTACCTACAGATCATCAATATAACGAATAAAATTGATACACATAAAGTTCAACATTTAATTCAATCAACTCAACTGCTCTAGACACAAGAAAGAAGTCTATGCACCCACTGCAAAGGGGCCGATCCTAGGAGTGCTGCAGTAAGATTCAGCCTTGTATGTTTGTGTAGGTAATGAGAGAAAACAAGAAAAACAAAACCATACCAGAATGTGAATCCTAATAAATTTATATAAGAATAAACGGCAAGAAGTTGTTTATTTTTCACTGAAAGAGAAGCAAAAGGAAAGAAATTAGAAAACCAGGTATATATATTTTGAATGACAAAACCATATATACTGAGTCTTAAGATTCGAGAAATGCTGCCAATTGCTTCTGCACATTCAGACATGAGATTATTTCTCTTGATTGTTGGGGTCTTACATGCAAATTTTAAAAATCAAACCTATGATACTTTGTAAAGGCCATCATTGGTTTTAATTAACATTTCTAATATATCTTGCATTCTTGCACAAAAGTCCTTTAGACATGAAACTCTGGAGAAAAGCAAGCCCACCACATCTTTATGCCAAAACTTTTTTTTGGTTGAATTTTCCAAAACATCATTTTAATTAAGAGGATGAAAGAGCAAGAATCAAACTCCTACCACTTCATCCAAGAGACTCAGATAATTTTTTTTTTTTTTTTTTTTGCCAGAAAGAGACTCAGATATTGACTTATCATTATCAATGACCATTTCCACCCCACAAACTTAACCTATTGAGACTCAGTAATAATTTATAATATCTTCAGCAATTTTAATACAACAAAACAAGCCTTATGCCACTATTCAACAATTCTAATAAAAGAAGAAAAATCATTAGAAGGATTCTTAATGACAACGGTATGCTCCATAGCTCCAATGTCTTGATATCCAGCAAATTGCAGAATAAAAACAAAAATAATAGTGAAATTGTTTGAGACACGTTCCAGCAAATAATACTTCTGTTGCGAATATTCTTCAATAATAAAATTAATGTAATTCCTTTGCTTCTATCTTGTTTTTCTATTTTCTGGTCATTCAGCATATGCTCTTTGTTTCTCTATAGCATAAACGTACACCTAATAAAGGAAACAGAAGAACATCTAAATTCACAACCTTTTCAGGAAACATCAAACTGTATTTGAAGAATGAAGCAAGTGCCTGCTGCTCATTGGTGGCCTTTTTTGAAGACATTGAATTAACACTTGGCTCAATAACTCTGCCAGAGACAAAAGGAGGTTCTGAGGAACTCTTGCTTCCCAAGAGTAACTCTTCATTCAAATTCACAGTGACCTCTCCGCTGGAAATGTCCACATTCTTAATAATTATACCCACTTCCCTAAGTCCAAAAAGACCAACTTAGTAGCCATTAATATAAAAGACAACTTAATAAACTAGGAAGAGTAATTGAGATAAAGCCAGGGAAAACTACTAAGACAGTATAGAATGTGAATAAGTTAAAGAATTCTTCTCTAGGGAGGGGAAAAAAATACTTGCATAAAAAACTGCTTGGCGGCAAACCAAACAAAGAAATACAGATTATGCCCAAAGAAGAGGAGGAGGAGGAAGAGAAGGAAAAGGCCTCCATGCAGGGCAAGGAAAACAGAAACTAACAGCAGAAAGTAAGGAAACAACAAAAGCCAGCTAAGCTGAGAAATCAAAGCCATACGTTTTTGATAGAAAACTCTCAAACCTTTTAATGCAATGCTCAGTTTCAAAAAGTAGGTAGGAAGTTAAATTTCATCGCTTCTATGGATGAAGCTCATTGTTTGATAAGCCACAATTCATTCCAACAGTAAGGTTAATCACAGGCAAGCTTGGAATTATCTTCACAACATTATCCAGATCCTCTTTACCCAATATCTATTTTAACATTAAAGAACCTCTTCTTCAACTTCACAATTCCAACAAGTTAAAGAGTTGAAAACTTCACAAGTACAACAAGCGAAAGATAAATGTTAAAAAATACATAGGGATGAAAAAATACCTATCATGTCCAAATTCACAAGAGATAGAAACTTTTTCACAGATGAAAGGGGCAGAAAGCCTTTCTATTGAGGCAATGAATGCCTGGCCAGAAGAATTGCACTCTCCACCACTAAAATTAGATGATTGGTCACAACTGACCCGTGGTTCACCAATGTGAAAAAGAATAGGTAATATATGCAGCCTGACAAGCAAATTTGACCCAGACCCACCGTCTTTAGATATATCCATTTTCAATTCCTTTATTTCAAACGTAGATTTAGGTGTCTGTAACATATGAAATAGTGTCAATAACGTAAAGAAAATATTCTAACAACATCCCAAATAGAGACACAAAGGAAAAGCAATTAAAAAATAGTTAAAACTAACAAGCAGACGTGACACCTTGAACATTTTCTAATTAAATCATTTAGTTTTTAAGATAATCTTATGAAATCATGGATTTCTTTAAATATAATTACAATACATTAAATTAAATATAAAAGTAAAAAAAAAAACGGTTAAAAATGGATTAATATAAATTATAGGGTAAAAGAGAAAATTGGCCACTAAATTATAGGTCCAAAAGTGTTTAAAACCCTAAACTCATTTTTTATACAATGTTCCCCTTCAACTTTTGAAAACAATGTAATCTAGCTCTTACTATTAACAAAAGTTAATTTTGACAATTAGTTAAGCACAAAAAGACCTCAAAATTTTCATTAAAAAAAAAGGGGCCAATAAAATATTCTTGGTCCTTTCTTGTACTTTTTTGGGTCCTTATCTGTAATTATTAGGGCCTTTGCTGTAAATTTTAAAGTCATTTTCTGTCATTTCCTGATCAACTAATAGTCAAAGTTAACTTTTGTTAACGATAGAGGTCAAATTATACCATTTCCAAAGGTTGAAGGGAAATATTGCACCAAAAATGAATTTAGGGTCCCAAACACTCCCGGACCTATACTTAGGGGCCAACTGCTCTATTGCCCTACATTATAAGATTAAAATAGATTCCAAATTCTCTATTTCTATATTATAAAATTTCAAACGTTTCTGCAATAATATTTCTATATTATAATTAATATTTCAAACCTCTTATAAATAATAATAAAGTTATTAATTGAAATTATTAATCAATTTGCCCACTTATTACTGAAGTAAAAAGAGTTCCACCTGTTCCTAAATAGTTAATTTCAATCAATGTAGTCACCACATTCAATGATATCATGGTATGATTCTCAAATTAATATATTATTACACACTACTAATAATATAAATATTTTTTTTGGTGAAATAATAATATAAATATTAATTTGTTATGTGTGGAAAAAAGGCAATAATTTTGGTAATACAATATGAAAATATAAAGTCAACATGTGTGTATAACTATGCAAGCAAAAGGCACAATGTTATCTGATACATACCTTCACAACCAGATCTGCCACACAAACTGACAAATATCTAGCAATGTTAGCTACAATCATCCACCTTCCCCTGCCTGGGGCACTTGATTTCCGAGTTTTCACCTTCTGAGGGCTTTTATTTGAAGGCCTTATTACAACTTCCAAGTCACATATTAAAATTTGAAGCTTTGGATCTCGAGAAATAAAACCCACTCCAAGCTTGACTAAAGACTGGCGCAAGCTAAGTTTAATTTCACCAACAGACACAGATTCAACAGAACCCTGTTCATGAAATTGAAAAATATGAGATCATAGAGACGTAAATAAAATTTTGCATCTCATTAGAATGAAATAGCTACGGTCAGCAGGGGGGTTGATGACCAATACCAACCAAACCTAGTTGGCCAAGGAATTCTGAAGCTCAATGCAAGCTTGTCTAGAAAAAGATGAAAATAGACAGATGTTGATCATTTGTATTGAAATAAATAAGAAGTGAAACAACAAGCAGCCTCATCTCCGTAGCTCAAGCTTATGGTTAACATCTACTCTTGACTCCTCAGTTAAGACTATAATAAATAAGTAGTGAGAGGGTGAAAAATGAAAAAGAAAAAAGAAATTGGTGCTATATATAAAATTTAATTCTTGCAATCCATTCTACCCACAAGGAACACTAGCAATATCTATTAAAAGATAGCTCAAAGCAAGAAGAAGTGCCAGTTGACAGTAAAAGGTACCAAAGACTGATCGGGAAGCAAATATACCTATCTCACATCAAGCCTAAGATATGTTTTCCAATAAATATGGTGAGTCAATTTATCAGCAAACGACATGTGGAGCACATAGAGACAGTGTCTAAGATACTAGCGTATTTAAAGATGACACCTACAAAAGGGCTATTCTTTGAGAAATGGAGGACTCAGAGAGTTGAGGCATATACTAATGCAGACTTGGTAGGCTCAATCACAAATAGAAAATCTACCACGACACTACACTTTCATGTGGGGTGATCTAGTTAATTGGTAAAGTAAGCAAGAAGTAGTAAGCTTCAACATTGAGAATATGTGAAGGAATATTGTTATTATGGCTACCTAAGGAACTAAAAATTGGTGTTCCAACCCCTATGAAGGTGTAGTCAAAGCTCTAATAAGGATTGCCAAGAACCCTATGCATTATGATGAAACCGAGCATGTGGAAATAAATAATCATTTCATAAAAGAGAAAGTGGACTCAAAGTGTTATTGATCTTTCCTATACGTCTTCTAACTCTCAAGTGGTAGACTTACACGCTAAAGCGCTCATAGGGACACATTTCAAAGAGCTTAGTGACAAGTTGGGAGTTCTGAACATGTATTCTCCAACATCAAGAGAAGCATGGGCAATTATTAAAGCCCTAATATGCTGGCCTATTTCAGCTTATAATTAGATAACTATCTCTTCATTTGTTGTTCCTAATTCATAGGAATATTTTACTTTTTTTATCATATTTTAGTTTCCTTGATTCTCTCCCACAATATCAAAACTGAATAGCCAGTCTATGCTACATCTTCCCTCTTTAGAGAAATTGTATTCGATCATTGGGGGTGAATAAGAAAAACTCCATTCTGGGTTTCTTCAATGACGTTAATCCTTTTTTATTCCTTTTAGAATAAAAGAAGTTATATAATAAAGGAAGAAAGGTACTAATGACAATATAGAATCCTTCTGAGGTATAGAACCAACAAAAGAAAATGAAATAGAAACATAAATGGGCAAAAAGCTGTCCAGTCTTCCAGTCTTCTGCATATCTGAGAGAGAAATACTCCTTAAAAAATACATACAATGACATGAATGAAAACAGGTACGCCCTTAAAAAAACAGCATCTCACTCCAGCAAAAATTAATATATGACCCCTGCAAAAACTTTACTCTCAAGTCTAGCAAGAAAAAATGCATTACATAGAACCCCATTGCTGTACAATACTTCCATGAAAAGAATAACATAGCAAATAAAGACAAAGAAAGACCTTTTTAAATTTCACTACCACGTCTCTTAAACATTTCCATCCACCAACGCGAAATCCAACAGATGCACCCAAAATCCGGCTCAAAATCCAAGCTAGCAACCTAGAAGCAAATCTGTAAACAGATGCATGATCAAATCAAGTATCACAATTGTTCAAATACTTTCTCTAAATCAACTATAGAAATAGAGACAGGGCGCTGGACCAATGGTGACATAATATAGCTTAAATCAAACCTCACAATGCATAGATATTCAATATTCATTGCAATTCTGGGAAACAATTTGATATGAAAGCAATAGCAACTCAGAGAAAGATACTTGTATTGTTGGTGATTCAATGAGTAGAATAGACGTATGTATAGATTAATGGATACACTACAATTATAACAAACTAACTAATCCACCACTCAAAACTAACATAATACTAACTATTAACTGCCTTAACAGCAAGAAGTAATGGCAGTTTAACAAGAAGTTATTGCTGGGATACAATTTGACAAGAAAATTTTGGTTGTTACTGTCAAACATCTCTACACAGACATGCTAATGTTTGAGTACTCTTCTCATGACAACAAGATTTATTACTGTGGCACTGCCCCAGTCCCTCAGTGTCGTCACCATTTTGACCAAAAAAATAAAAGACCAAATGAACTCATATAATTCCAGAATGAATGGTGCATTAATACTGTAAGATGTCTCAATTTCACTAGGACCATTTAAAAAATTAAATAGAGTGCAGAACACTAAGGCACTAGAATTCTTTTAGTATTTCTTTTCCAAGTAGATGAAAACACCATTAAGGGAAAGCCAAGGAAGCATATACAGAGAATAAAGGGTCAAATGTCAAAAGAATAGTAGAAACAAAGAAACTCATCCATAAGACATAGCTATCAATCCCTTTTGCACAACTGTTTGAAAAACACAATTAAAGAAATAGTGGGAGGAGTGCTCATTGATGGTAAACAATCCAATTCCATATTGGCCTGAAAAATTTAATAGTTCTTAAAAATACAAGCTTTCTCCTAAATCAAATGGACTTTTTAACACTGAAACAAAAGGCAAAATTAGTTGAGTTATCCAACACAGGTCTCAAACCAATGATCTTCGCAGATCCCAAGGATGCACAGAGCCCTTACAACTCCTATTCATGTCATATGATTTCTTTTTATTGTTCTTAGGCTAGTATTCATCTATTTCTTTACTGAATGGCAGCTTGGTATTTGTGGGATAGACTGCTAAGCATTTATCAATGACAGATGATGGACCAGTCCTACCAACCTGTAGCAAGTTTTTTAAGAAATTTCAGTGCTTCTGGAAAGGTAAGGAATGTGCAGCCAAGTAATGTTCAAATGGAAATTTTGGAGTCTTTGGCTAGAGAGAAGTCACAGGAAGCAAAATAATATATTATTGTCTTCGCCACTTTCATGGACTAAGTAGTTCACTAGTCTTTTTCATATGACAGCCAATAGTTCTTGAGAGGAATCACTCTTTCAAATGTACAGCGGTACTGCAAGTTACTCTTTCGTGCTTCCTACAACTCTTTGTTATTAGTATATAATTTGTTTCGCTTTTTTAAAAACTCAAGAGTCTAAGCGAATTCCTTGTCTTGGTATATCTGAGATCCTCCATAGTTTACCGAATTTTCGGTCCACTGAAATTTGTTCAAGTATTGAGGAGGGGCTTACGCGTGCCTACTACAAGTGCATCGAACTAAGATGTAAAAGGAAATAGTAATAACTTCAAAGCAAATAATCAATGAATAAGCAAAAATTCAGCACTGAAATATATTTGGCTAACTTACATGAATACGATCCACAATGTAATAGAAAGTAACAAGAATCCGAAGAGGAACTTGACAGGTGAAGCTGCCATTTTCAATGGGAAGAGTAATTTCTCTCCAGCAACGGGCGAATTTCAATCTTGTTCTCGAAATGCTCCAAGATGAAGCACGAACACGCTTTTCTCGCGTAACTTCATAGCAGAGTGCACCAAAAGAACAATTGTGAATGGAAAAAAGGAGGGGAGAAGCCAAAATTGTAGGCGCTGAAATATCTTGGAAATGAAGACTTCGAATCAAACTTGGTCACTCAGTGATCAGAAACGCTGTTTATCTCGGACTTAGATCCGAGCCGCGGGGTGTTCGGGGATCAGAGGCATGGAGACCTGGCGAGGGAATCAGCCAGTAAGTAACGCAGGCAGTGGAGGCGTTATATCAGATTTTATTTTATTTTATTTTATTTTATTTTAAAATTTACCAATCTATATTTTTTACGAAAATTAATAGACTTTAAAAACTGAAAACCCAATACATATGGCAACTCAGTCCCTGGCTTGCTTGATATTCTGTCAATTGTAAGTCAAAAAAAAAAAACAAAATTGTTAGACGTGTATCTAATTTTCAATTTACATTAGTCAAAAATTTATTTTAAAAATCTAACTATTTGTTAAATTTAATAAAAATATATTTTAAATATGTTTTGAATTTTTTTTAAGGTTACCAAAAAGGTTATAAATCACACCAATTGATCAACTAGATTTTGTTTTGATCGAAAACTAAAAACCGGCCTAATGTCTGGTTTAGTAAAAAAGTAAAATTGAGAATGGCTAAAATGTATTTTTTTTCTATTTTTATATAAAATTTTAATTTAATTTCTTAATTTTATAAAGCATCTTTTCAATCTTTTAATTAACATAATTAGTTTTAAATGATTATTTTTTATATTTTAAAAAATTAAACTTAAATGTCAATATTTAAAAATAATTTTTAATATTTAAAAATTTAATATAAAAATTAATAAAACTAGCAGTGTTAGAGTTATAAAAATGAAAAGATATTTTATAAAATTAAAAAATTAAATGAAACCTTGTATAAAATTAAAGAGTTAAATGTATACTTTAACCAATTGAGAATTAATTCAAGATCAATTGAACCACAAAAAAAACCAATAAACTAAATTTAACAACCCATTTAGTATAAGGGAAGAGTTTTTTATCAGAGTAGAGTCATTTAAAATTAATAGATTTTATATTTTTATAAAAAATTAAAATTATATTCTCAAAATGTATTTTGAACATGTATATACATTAACTAAAAAAAATTTAAAACTCATTAAATCTATTCAAAAATTTACTAAATTTTTCACTTTGTCTATATTAAATATAAATACTTTAAAAACTTACTTTTTTGGCCAACATTTAAGGGTAAAAGAAAAAATTTGTGATTAAAAATTAATAATATAGTTTATAAATAAAACTAAAAATATATTATCTCTCTACCTTATACAATGGAGGGAATAACTTCTTGTTGGTTCTTGTTTGCAAATAATTCTCTTGGCATATCCTTAAATGTGATTATCCCTTTTTTCAATAAATTTAGATATTTTAAGCCTAGCTTGAATAAATCTGACCTGTCTGAATTATTGGCTTAATATTTAAATGTAATGTATATCACCTTAAGTTTGTCTCCTAATTTAAAACTCTATCTTCCACCCTATTGGTAGTTGTACAACTATAGCAACATATAGTCGAAATATGATCAAGACAGGTGTGGTAAAAAACAAAATTATATTTCACTGAGACTATAAATAAAGCCCCTACAATTTCTCTGTCCCAAGCACTAATTTCATAGGATGGATCTATTTTAGTCAACATTAGGATTATGCCTAGAAAGTTGCATTGCATTGTATAGAGTGAGACCACATATGAGAATTGTACAGTCAAGCAGAAAAAAAGGGCTTAAGGTTGTTCCCTTAAGAAGATATGGCAATGAAAGGGAAAGAATATAAAATTGAAATTGGAACTATATATTTATAAGCATCCATCAACTAATATGCACATAATTTAAAAGATATTTACATAAGACATTGGCCTGTCAACATTTTATTATATGAAATATAGACATAAAAAGCATGAGTACCTGATAACATCACCATAAAGGAAAGCAGCAATTGCTGAAAAAACTTTTACAACATTAAGCAAGGATATGTTGAATGCCAAATTGATAACGATGTAAAGTAGTGGAAGGATAAGAGCCCCATTACAACTTGAGACATGGACATCTAGATTATAAAGAATTTGGATAGAGAAAAATAAATTAAGGAAATAAGAGCTAAGATATTCTCATTTTTTATTTCTGAACAATAGTTCTCCTAATACAATAGATAAACAAACTGGATGGCCCTCTAGGCCCATCTTATAGATGCTAATTATATGACCTTTGATGCCCTGCTTTCAGCGTGTAGTGATCTTTTGCTTAAATACATGTACATCATGCTGTTAGATAGCTCCTCATATTGTATGGCTTAATCCATACCCTTTGTATTACACCTCCAAAAAATAAAGTAACAGATAATAATCTCAGAACAGTGATCATCTAGTCTCTTGCAAAAATCAACTACCTATTTTTTCTATTTAGATGACAACAATGACAAAGTCTTATCCCACTAAACGGAGTGGCTACATGAATCTCATAATGCCATTGTGTTTTGTTTGAGACTAATTCTTCCAATAAGCCATTTACAGAGAAATATTGATTAATGACTTCTTTAAACATACTTCTTGGTCTCCTTTTACCTTATTCATAAGGTTAAAGACTATCTATTTGCTCACCTATCCTTACCAATGCCTTCACTTCATATATAACCAAATCATCCTAAATAATTTTTCAATATTTTTTCCTCAACAAATGTCATATCAATTTGTCCTCATATCTTAGGTAAATGTAACCAAATTCTCTAAGAAGTAGGCTAGTTCACAAACAATTGCAACTGAATTCTCCTTTTGTATCTATATAAGTCTAGGTAGTGACAGAAATCAATAAAAGAAATCCTAAATGGTATCCAGTCTAATAGAATTTTAACAGCAGAAGAATAAATGGAAATCCATACGATTATAATGCTAGAGTGGAAAACCATGTATTAAGGTCTGTTATTGGATAGTTCGAGCTTACTTCTTGTATTAGCTCCTATATTTAGAAAGCAACCAGCAATGCGCTTACAATATGAAGGAAGTTGAATAAATGGCAGAAGAAGAAGAAGAATAAAAAGAGCCTACATTAAAAAAAAATAATGACAATAATTAGGCAACATTCAGATAACAATTTAATAGCTAGCTACTAAGATACTTTCAAAATAAGAATTTGAAGAATCAATTGACTTTTGCATTCTGCACTAAAACTTCTAAAGGAAGAAAGTAGAATACATTCAGAGCCAACTATAAGTAAAATGCCAAAATGAACTTTCTGATTGAGCTACAATCCAAAAAATTATATTTGACAAGGGGAAACACTAAAGGAATGACATGGAAATAGGAAAATCACTGAAAAAGCTAACCTAAAAGTTGTAAAGTGAGCCAAGAAAAAGGGAAAATCCTTTATGGGAATGAGCGAAAGCTCGTAAAGCACATAAAAAGGCACGCAGTTTATGTCAAGCTTAGAATTTCACATTTGATGAATATGCATAGAGTTACTCACTGACTCATCTTCTATACTCCATCCTACATGAACGTACATCATAGATACTTTTCCTTGAAGAGATAAATATCCTAACCTGTCAGCCTATTATTATTTTTAAATAAATGACTTTTGGCTTTTTCATGCAAGATAATGCAAATCATCAACAATAAATCCTCAAGGGTTAAGCAATATACTCCTTCCTTAAGGAGACTATCTTCAGTTTATCATGCTCTCTTATTTTTTGCTATATATATATATATATATATAAGGGAAACACACACACACACACACACACACACACACACACACATCAGGGGGTAAATAGTGCAATATTTTGAAATGATATAAGGGAGATATAAAGCTTCTTAAGTGAAATGAGAAGCAAAACAAAAGAATAGTTAAATGCCAAAAAAAATTAAGGTTAAAACTCATAGGTTGCTCCAAGATCGTTATTGCATTACAATGTATGACAATTATAAAATGAACAATACCAGAATAAGAAACTAAACATTGTATTAAATTCATTATAGTTAAATATAAGTAAAAATCTAAGCAGTTAAACATAGTTTACGTTATGCCAATTAAGTCATCTGTAAACTAGCATAGACGCATAGTGTATAGCAAGCCATACCTAAAACCTATATTTAAAGAAATTAACCACAAATATGTCCAGTGATTTTCCCTACACATAAACAAGTTCAGATTAGTAAACTTGGCCATGCATTACTTACATTGCTAACTGTAATGATGATTGCGGTGGCCTCAATAATGCACTAAGTGAAACAGCTATACCTTAAGTTGAAGGGTAAAGTTAATGAAAATAGACTTTTGCCATACAAGAAAACACAACAAACTTATGATTTCGCCTAAAATAGCATTAACCCAAAATTTGCCTTAACTCAATGGACAAACCTTGATGATAGATGCACTAGCTTGAAAAGTACTAGAAATTATCATCAATATTGACCATAAGAGCTCAACTTCAGATAACATCTAACCGGTATTAGACCCACTGCAATTGTAGGATGTAAATGATTAGATAGGGCCCCATTTCATTATAGTGAAGCCAGAACGATAAATCAAGAAAATATATTAATTGTGCAAGAAGAAAAAGAACAAACAAGAAGGAGCAAAGATCTTGACTGTGCAAGATTAGTACGCTAAGAGAACCACACTAAAGGACATAGGTAGTATCACTATTAATAACCTGTTATAGGAAATGGCACAAACAAATTTGATTATTCTCCATCCTATTCAAGTTAGAAGGCTAGCAAGCCACCTAAGGAGTTTATTAATCATAGTTTTTCACTTTAAACAAATCTTTTACACATACAACAAATTTAGTGTGGGAATATTTAATATTTATTGTAAATATTGTATGGTCTTTATTAGACATTATTAGTTTTTACTTCCCCTTACGTATATATAGTTAGCTTGTACTCAGTATTCAAACTAATTAGAAATATCATTTTCTTTTAAATTCCATATGGTATTAGAGCGTGTGCATCTATGGTTTTATGGGTGATGCCTCGTCAGATGTGGACTTCAGAGTGCCTCTGGCCATTACTGTTTGTGGTAGTAAAGAGAGTTTTAGATCTCATTATCAACCTAAGGAGGCGTGCAAGGGTCTAATCAGTGAAACCCTAGAGTTTAACGATGATCGGCAGTGTATAGCACTCTCACCCGCCAACTAAAGATTATGCTCTAGAGTACCAAGCGACACGTGGGAGCACGTGAAGGATCGAGGTGGCCGGCGATACGTCTTTCCATTGTTAGTGTGACATTTTCAATTCAATCCCACTGTACCTTAAGCATAAGCAGCTTGTTTTCCATATTCCTCTATCTCAAGTTCTTCTACGCATGTGACTGCTCGTTGTTTGTAGAGATGTTAAAACATCCTCACTCCACCAAACACAATTAACAAATAAAACAATAGTAATCAGAGGATGAGCTCAAAAAGTGATTAATAAAGTTTAATCTGAAAGTAAGGGATCTCAAGTTTTTTGAAAAAAAATGAGTTAAAATCGATCAAAATCTTTTATATCAGAGTAAAAATAAGTTTCAGAAGCATAGGATACCTTAGAGGAGTGAAAGAAGTCAAAAACGGTTGAAAAACAAAACAAGTTGCTCTCTGTGCCACGTGCCACAGCTCAGGCGCCATGCGCCGTGGCGTGTTGCATAAAAATTTCACTAGTTCTGCTGTCATTTGATAGCAGAATCAAGGAACTTTTGACTCACCCTGATTCTCCATCTGACATTTGAATGATGTGATTTAAGTGTTTACGAAAATCTTTTCACAAGAACTAGCTAATGGCATGGGTTTCACTTCCAAAACAAGTCACACTAGAAAGTTGAACACCCAAACACATTTTAATCACTTTTCAACACTTTTACACAAAATGAGTGTCCAAAACTCTCAACAAGTGCCAAAAGCTTTTCTTGTAACATCCCAATTTAAATTTTAATAGTTAATTTGGGTTAATAAAAATTTTGAAAAGTATTATTAAATTATTATTATAAAAAAAAAGGTATGAAAAAAAATAAAAAAATAAAAAAAATAAAAAAAATAATAATAATAAATAAAAATAAAATATTATTAAATTATTATTATTATAATAATAAAAAGAAAGAAAGGAAAAGAAAGGAAGAAGAAGAAGAAAACGAATTTGCTTCGTCCGCCGCCTCAACAGTAACAATAATAAAATAATAATAAAAAGAAAAGAAGAAGAAGAGAGAGAAAATAATTAAAAAAAATGTGGGACCCACTGAATTTTTATAAAAACTCACCTGTTCCTTCATTTCTTCATTCCTTCTTTCGTGCGTGAGCTTCGGCAGAGAGAGCATCTGTGAGCCAAATTCACCGGTGCTGGGTTTTAAGGTAAGAGTTTTTAATAGGATATTTAGGGTGTGATTTTAAGCTTTTCAAGACTAAGTAAGTGTTCTAAAAATTTTTCTTAGTCATCCTTCTTCTTTAGTTTCTGAGTTTGTAGTGGTAGAAAATTTAAGATCTGAAAGAGGGATGAATTTATGTTGAATAAATATGGTTTTTGAGGTTGTCAGTAGTATAATAAATGTTATAGAGTATAAATTTGTTAATGATCTTTGAATTTATGGCTTATGGATCAAATTCTAAACTAGATCTGAAAATATATGTTGATTTATTGAGGTTTAGATGATTATTTGGGATGAGAAATGAATTATTATGGTTATAGGATTATGATTCTAAGCTAGAGACTTAATTTTTAATTTTTGGGTATTTTAGGTACGAATTTATAAAATAAAAAGAAAATTTTGATAATAGAAATTAGTTTAAATTTGATTTTTAGATTATCAATGTTTATTGATAATTAAAAGAGGAGTTAAAAATTATACTTAATAGTATTAACTATAGATTTGTATTAAGATTGAGATTAAGAATTATGTTATATTTTTAATTCTATTATTAGAATTATTTTATTAGTTTCAAAAATTGAAACTAATATTTATAAATAATATGTTATTTGTAGATTGTATTACTGGTGAAGATTGTGGTGAGAGAGAAATTTTAAGGAATAATTTATTGAAAAAGCCACAAGGTAACCATGCTTTTAATTTGTGATTAGTGTTACTTCTTGTTAATTGGGTGATTATTGAGAAAATTATGAATTTTGTAATATTGTATAATTGTGCAATATTATTATGAATTTGTTTAATTATTGTGGGAGGTGTTGGGAGACTTGCTATTGTTGTTGTATTTATGTGCCACGTGGTACGCCCCTATTGGAGCTCAATAGGTGGTTTGTAAGGGCTCGGGCTAATCTACCTTTGGCCGGGTAATTTAGTACCGAGTGAGGGCTACGGCTCGAGGTTAATGGAGGGATATAAGGATGGTTGTTTGTGTTTATTATAATATTTCTTATATTTGTTAGAATTATATTATTTTTAATTCTCACTTAGTAAGCACACACTTAACTGTTTGTATACACTATCATAAATTGGCTTTGGTTACTGGGACTTTTGAGTCTCATTATGTGGTTAACAATTTTCAGGAGAAGAGCCAAGAGTGACACGTGGAGGAGTCCCAGAGGCTTAGTGGTATAGATCCACTGTCTCTTTTGGGTATTTAATTTATGATTTATAATGTGTTATATTGCCAATATTAGGACTTTTTTATGTTTATTGTCAATTATATGAATATATAAATGTAATCATGCCTTTCAAACTATTTCTATTTTTGGTACAATTTGGATGACTGTAATTTTAATATTTGGTTTACTTTGGATTGGTTAAAATGGCATGATTATAAGGCCAAATAACTGGCTTGTGTTGAAAATTGACTAAATTGCTTATTTTACTTGTTGGGAGTATAAGGATGGACAAATGTGATTTAGTTTACTTGTTGGGAGTATAAGGATGGACAATGTGATTTAGCCTAATGGCATGTGGGAGGTAAAAATTTATCTGAAATGTTATAGTGTGTAAGTTGAAGCCAATTATAAAATATTTTATATCGAAATTATTGATATAAAAATGTGTTGGGTGGCTGTAACCCAACTATGGTTGAGTTAAATTATTTAAAAAAAAAAAATTTGGTGTGTTACATTTCTTAACACCTAGACAATGTCCAATGGACCTAGGACTATTAGTACAACATGTCACAAGCACTGAAACATCATTATAACGAAAATTTACTCCTCAATTCCATTTTACCAAAAATAGAGGGGGAGGTAATTTTTCATTGCATTTCACTCAAATCATTCAAAACATGCTCAAATCTTCATTTCTACACTTGCACTAGTATTTGGCCCTATAAACATATATATATATATATTAACAAACGCAAAAACTAAGGGCCCAAAATATAATTCTAACATTTCCAACAACTAAAATAGTGCAAGTATGGTAATATGCATCCTAGAATTAGCAAGCCATATACTATTACACAATTAAAGCTAAACTAAAGGCATACGGTAGGAATATGCTAATTCCCTACCTCTTAAGTCTTATCCTTTCAATACCAGAGTTAGAGCTTGAAAAGTATTAAATAAGAGGGGTGAATCTAGCCACTCAATAACCAAGATTAAACCTACCTCATGCAGTTATATATCAATTATAAAACAAATACATACATAAGAAGATCAAATATGTAAAACAAGTCCACATATATCAGAATTATCATTTATCACTCTATAGCTTCTTCGACTCACATAACTAGATGCATTGTTACCATATTCTCAAATATGTGATATGACCCATACTCTTGTGACCTGTCACTACTTAGCACGTGTGACATGTCATATATTTACTTAGGCAGTGATCCACCAACCTTATATCCTCTTTATTTTCTTAGACTGAAACCGTGGGCTATAACACTGATTAGAACTCCATCCGTGTGACTGAACTACCCAAGCTCACCAATTGTGAGGTGTGACTCAGTCAAAGATCACAGGACTCACTCTCAAACCACGACTTCCCCTATTCTCGAATCCCTAGGGTGTCTTATACCCTAAGCTATTCTCCTCATTGAACTGGTGGAGATAGTTAGGTTATAGTTCCTCAACAAACTACAGGACAGTCCCTCAAAAAATAGTGGGACAAGGCTATAGCTCCCGTGCACTGAAGGGCGGTCTAAATACCATATGAATTTTGTCTACTCCCAAATCCCTAGGTGAACTCCCACCACTGATCATGCCATAATCATTACTCACTTGTTTTCACTTTTTCACTTTCATATACTCACTTTTACAACAACCATGTTAGGCTCACGACCTTACGTTACCCAAGTGTGTATTCTCATCTTTTTCTCATTAGCAAATAAATACCTCTACACTTCATCTAATTCATGTTTCAACAACAAAAACATGTTCATAGTTAAAATTCTCTTGACTTTGCATATTGCATTTTCAAGTCAAAAATAGCTTTTTCATGTACTCAAGGAAACTAATATATAGTCTTTATTTAAACAACTAATCCTATACACGTAAACATTTACAATTCATATTCAACAACTAATTAACAATCAATTAACATATAACTACCTAAAGTAGAGTTTTCCCCTAGTTACCTCAAACCTTTGAGAGGTCAAAGGTTTACCCCTCAATCAATTAGCTTCCAAGTTTGAATTTCCACTCCAATAGGTGACTAAGAGCCAAAACTACAATCAACCAAGTTAAATTCTATCAATATAACAAACTCAAATATTTAAACCCTCAATCTCTACTTCTAAATTACCCAACCTTCACTTTACAAGAGGTGGAGCCTAACCATTAGGTTTAATAGTTACCTTTAACCCCCAACAGCATTAATGAGCCATTAAATCTCTATTAATGGCTTCACAAACTTTCAACCATCCAATTAAATGAGATTTTTGGGTATTCATGGTGCCAAATAACTCAAGACATCAAAACTCAATATACCTAGGTTTAAATACTCTAATCCACCCTTATTAACTTCATTTAAGTCAATAGATTCTGACCCATAATTAATATGAACCGAAATCCCACTTCCACTATCAAACCCTAACTATAAACTCACAAATGTCAAAGAAATAGGGAGATTAATAAGTATGATACTTACCTTGGGTGTTTATAGCCTTCAAAATACTCTTAAAGTCATCTCCAAGTAAACCCTAGTAGAGCTTTGGCGTGCCTCTTCTTTCTCTCTTTTCTCTTCTTTATATTTTTATCTCATTTCACATTTGATAAACTACAGAAAATGGCTATATGCCGTAGCGAACACACAACACGCCACGGCACATAGCACAAAGAGGTCCTCCCTCACTTAGAAATGGCTGTGCATCGTGGCGAACGATTTATGCATCGTGGTGTGTGGCACAGCAACTTTAACTCTTCCTTTTCTTCTCCTTTCGATGCTCGAGTAGCCCACCTCAATACCGGACCCATAACTAGGGTTGAAATACCACTAAATATGATTATTAGACCTTTATGGCCACACACCATTTCAACTTACTTAATTACCCTAATCAAGTTTAATTAATTAGGAAATTAAAACTCGGGATGTTACAGATGTGGTATTCCTTTTTGCTCTATTATGCGAAAATTCTCGCATTCATTAAAGTAATATTGTGGGTGCTTTTTAATAGCAAACTTACCTAGTCTAAATCTCTACACATAGCAACAGTAGTGAAATGGAGCATTTTCCTTCAGGCTCTAATAACATCACAAAATAAAATAGTATAAATCATTGACTCTAGAGCCTCCGACCATATGACTAATTGTCACAAGTTGTTTACCATTTACACCCCTTGTATTGGGAATATTAAAGTCAAGATTGTAGATGGCTCATTAGCACCTATAGCAGGAAAAGGGAGTATTCAAATTTCAGATTTCATAAGTTGAAATCTATACTTCATGTGCCTAAGCTTGATTATAATTTACTTTCCATTAGTCAACTAACTAAGCAATTAAATTTGTATGCTAAGTTCCTTACATCCCATTGTGTATTTTAAGACCTATCATCTAGCGTGACAATCAAAAGTGCCAAAGAGTATGAGACACTCTACTATTTTAAAGTCTCTACTTGAGCAGGTGACTCACCAATTGTCAGTAAGTTTGCATCTATCTCTAAAGTTACTTTGATATTGTGGCATAAGAGGATGGGTCATCCTAATTTTCCTTACCTTAATTGTTTCCAACCCTCTACCCAAACCTGAATATTAATGACGTTTATTGTGAAGTATATGAACTTATCAAGCACTACAGAACTTCCTTTCCTTGAGCCACATAATACTCACCAAACCTTTCACAACTATTCATAGTGATCTGTGAGAACCTTCTTATACTCCTAACCATACTAAAAAAGTATGGTTTGTTTCCTTCATTGATCACCATACTCTAATTTGCTAAGTCTATCTTTCAAGAAATAAGTCTAAGGCTGCATCTGCTTTCATCAATTTCTTCAACATGATCAAAACTCAGTTCAATACCACCATCTAATTCTTACATACTAATAATAGCATTGAGTATTTTAACCAATCTCTAAGTACTTTCTGTAACATTTCAAAATTTTTTTCCATGATTTATTAATCTAATAAAGGGTAATTATGTAAATTTAAGTATAATTGGGTTTGAGAATAGTTAAAAATATTTATTAGGTTTGGATTTAGCCTTCAAAATTGGGTTCAAAAGTGAACTGGGTCACTCAGCTCAAATTGTAGAGAAAAATTAGATTTTTTAGCCCACTGTGTGTTATGCTATAACATAGAACTCAACGGTACGGGACTTAGCCTCAACTTCATTAAAGTATGAGATGTTGAAGGATTGAGTCTCGAAAGGTTTCAAAAGACCTCTTTAGTGGGTGGAGGAATAACCCAAGTACCACCTTGGGAAAAGATGGCTTTTACTAGAATGATGTGGGTTGGCCCCGTACTGGTCTTAGCCTGCTAGGCAAGTGGCCAATACTGCTACACTTTTCTCCAAAGGCATGGTATTATCCATCTAGTTCTTGTGCCATACACCTTAATAAAATGGGGTTGTGAAAAGGAAAAATTTTAATATACTTAATGTTGCTAGAGGATTCATGTTTACCTATAATGTGCATAAATTTTCTTAAGAGGATGCCATTTTGACCGCAACCTACATCATTAATCGTACGCCAAGTCAAATTTTATCCTTTAAAACTCCTCTCCATAAGTTACAAAGTATTTTCTACATCACATATTAAAACCAATCTCCCACTTCATGTGTTTGGCTACACAACCTTTGTCCATAACCACCAGAGTACCAAACTTGAACCTTAAGCCATCAAATCCATATCCTTTGGCTATTCTCTGACTCAAAAGGATACAAATGCTTTGACCCTGTCATAAAAAACACATTTTTTAGCCTAGATGTCACCTTTCATAAAGCTACTGCATTCTATCCTAACTCTTCAATTCAAGAGGAGAGCACAGGTGAATTTAAGACTTAGATACAAGAATCTAACAAAGAACAGTACTTCTTGACCCATAGTTTGTACCAACTAAACCTGAAATATCACCTTCATTTACCCTTCCAACATCCCTTCCAGTACCATCTCTATCTCCTCTTATGCCACAGTTTAAGGTAAACATGCAAACAGGAAGAGATGCAGAAAGACTACAAAAGGTAGAACTTTTAGCTTGTACTCAAAAAAAGAAGTCAAAAGATAGTGAGCAACTTATATTTGAAGCACCAAGAGAGTTGACACTAAAGGTAGCTCTTGAAGCAAAAACTCATGGCGACCTAAAATTTAGGGTAACTCCTGAAACCCCAATACTCGTCAGTACAAAGCAAGTAAGTGAATCTACTGATCTTCCCATTACTTTGAGGAAGCAACCTCGCTTATGTACTTTCCATTTGATAT